TTTATTCCGGTGGAAGAAAATTTCTCCGCTATCCAGGCCGTTGACACACGCATTGTGCCATGTTGTGTACCCAGACGAGCCCGCTGGACCGACCTACAACCGCTTCGTTTTGAGGGGGTTTGTGGCTGCCTAGAGGTCCCGGATACGATTGAACTTGACCATGGAGCTCTTACGTTCCGATCCGGGGATTGCCTGCGGGTCGGAGGTTGCAGGCCGGACCCGGAGGTTGTTGGCACCTCCTCGGCTGCGACAGGACCCCCGGTGCAGGACGATGACGACACCGGATCTCGGGCCTCCTTAAGTTCACCGCCCCGTGAAGATGCACCGTCTGCGGGCTGCCGCCACACTGTCCTCCGCAAGATGGTGTAGCCAAGTGCGACGAAACTTAAATCCTAGCGATGTATCATTTCCTTCTGCGCTTCCAAACCCAGGCAGAATTTTCAGCACCACGGCCAGATGTTCAGCCAGAGTCGTTTATACATGCCTTTCATCGAAAAGGTGCTTCTGCTCCGCATCAGGACCAGGATTTCCAAACCAAAGCCAAATTTTCAGCTCCAGTGTCAAATTTCCTGCCAGGGTTATTTATCTATTGCAAAAAAGCTTAACTGACAGTTTGCCTGTGCACCAGCGCAACCTTCCAGATTTGTTTGTATAAGCTTTCCGAGGCGACGCCGATTGTTGTATCAAGACTTCCTTCTAAAGTTGTTTACAGTTTCCTTGAACGTTTGCTTCGGTTCCACAAGGCCATATTTCCAGCAACAAGACCAACTTTTTTGCCAACATGAATAGTTCTTGCTGAATATTTTGCTTTTGTCCCAGACCAAGGCCGAAATTTCTGCACCACGGCCAAGTTTTCTGAATTGTGTATAGATGCTTTTCACAGAAAATGTTGCTTCGGTTCCACACCAAGGCTAGAGCTAAACATAATTGTCAGTGAGAACTATGTGCAAAAAATCCTAGTTGAGAATTTGGCCGTGGTGCGGCAATTTCTGCCTTGGTGTAGGACCGAAGCAGGATTTCAGTGAAAAATGTTAATACATAATTCCGGCAGACAATTTGGCCGTGGTGCGGAAATTTCGGCCTTGGTCTGGGCCGAAGCTGGTGCTGGGAACTCGGCCTGGTCTGGAACCGAAGTGAATTTTCAGCAAAATCTACATTTCTGGCCGGAAGTCTTGCTTAAATAAAGCCGCTAAGGCAAAACGCATTGCTAGTCCGGTGTGTGTCTCCGGTTCTCGCAACCCTGCTCATTGGGCAGCGTAGACCTCCACGAAAACTAGGATCCAAATGGAGTTTGGAACCGTGGGCACGACAAGGCTCAATCATATCGGGCATGTGTGGGTCCAAGCGGCCTGTGTCTGTTAAGCCGGTGCCGTTTCCCTGCATGCTGCACAAGCAGGTTTCGGAGAAGCAACCCTTCGCCGAATGCTAATTTTAAGGCAGATGATTTGCTCTGACAGTGAATATTGAAGCTCAGCTCGAGACATCGAGTAGCGTGCAGAAGAAGAATGATATCGTTAGTACATTAAAAAGCCAACGCTCCGCGCGAGCCTTTGCTTCGCTGCTGGCAGCAGCATCAACAGCTTACGGATGAATGACAGTCAAAAAAATGTGCAGCTGCTGGCCTGCTGCAGCATCCCCGTAGCAGTCCAGTGGTATACAGCCAATGGAGAGGCAGTCCTGCCCGATCTCAAGGATTTCATGAGTGGCTTGGTGAAAAAGACAGGTGCTTGTGTTCCTGTCAAACGTGCAATCATGGCTGTGTTTGACCGAGATGAGATCATGAGGGGAGGCTGGATCTTTGCATCGGGCTCAGCTGGTTTGAGCTGTGTGCGCCGAGAGTGACACGTTTTGACCCAGGCCTCGACAATGATGATCTTCATCCTGCTTGGCTCGGTTCCTTGGGCTTGCCGACTAGCCTCGTAGCTTCAGTAGCTTCAGAGGGCCTGGGTATCGACAGAGACATACTGCGCACGAAATCACAAGCTGCCAGCTCACGTGAAGAAAGGGACGACATTTGAGTCTTTCGGTTCGGAATGACGTGAAAGGAGTTCTTTGAGATGGCGCAAGCAACCCAAGTAGCAATCTGCGATTCGGTGAACGCCCGTGCCAAGCTGCAAGCAGTCAATGTTGCACGAAGCCATGGAGGTGTCGTAGATGTTGGTAGAAGACGACGAGAACAACAATCACACCTTACCAGTAGGGGCCAAGGTGCAACGGGCGTGTCAAGCAAGCACTGCCTTTGAAGAAGCAGGCTTTCACGTGTTCTACAAAGGTAACCATGATGAACATGCTTGTGGGCGTCTTGGTGGAAGTCATCAAGACCGTCTCCGAGATTGAGCGAGAACAGCTTTTTGCCGAACACATATGTCTGCGGTTGGCTTGTGCTTCAGTGGGCGTCTCTCGAAGTTGCTTGCTGGTTCGTACATGTTCGCACTATGACTCAGGCTTGAAGTCAGTTTTGTCAAGAAGATCTTTTCCGCCCGACGGCAGCAAGACTATCGGTTTGGACACCAGCTGTGGTGCTACCATGCCCAGGACATGATCACCAAGATGAACTTAGATGCAGACGGTGACAATCGAATCTCGAAAGAGGATCCTCGTCACGCAAGCTATACTCCTGCTAGTCCAGGGCTTGGCTCTGTCAGGACTTCATTCAGCAATTTTTTCATGCGCGCGCCCACAGCCAATGCGCTGTCTCGACAAGCTGGGGTCGAACGAGCCTTGCGAAACCTTTCCCGGCAAGCCAACTCAGTGATCCTCTTCCTCCGCACGGAACTGGCCCGCAGGCCTTTGCGAACGGCTTGCTTTGCAGCCTCAGCGCTTTCAAGGAACATCGCTTTGACAGTCGAGGCTTGCAGAGGCCTGGCGAAGCTGGAGCCCTGCATGCCTGAACTGAGGACGTGTGCAAAACAGAAGTCGGATCAGAGGATTCAAATCTCTGCTACTGTAGATTTGTGGCAGTCTGAAGGTTGGATGCCTTCGCCTTGCATGCTAAGGAGTTCGACACACTCTTATCAAAGCCGGAGGCAGCCAAGGCCTTGCTAAACATTGGCCCGGAACCAAGTGGTCAGATTTCCAGGCCCTTTTGCAACCACGGGTCGGAACTTACGTAAGGCGTTGATGTGGTGGGCCTCGTGGATTATCGAGCGCCTTGGACGTGAAGAGCATGACCAAGCCTCGAGCAGCTTCTCCAACGTGAGGACGTCTTGTTCGGCACAGAGGGTGACATGCGACTGGGAAGAAGAGACCGTTTCATGGCAGCTCCGTGCTTTTTTGTCTTGTGTCCTGCGAAATCCTGCGAATGTCCATTCGAGGGAACTCTCCTTCGCTGAGTTCATGGAAGCCATCCTGGAACTACGAGGTGAAAAAAGTGTTCAGTAGCAGAAGCCAGGATTTCATGATCGCTTGATTGCTTGGGAGGTACAAATAGTGCGAAGGTGAAGGACATTGTCGACCTCCGAAAATTTGTGGCCCAGGCACGGGACACGGAGCAAGGGGGCTTCGAGAGGTGTGCCCTAGACTCCCTAGACCTGACAAAGGAAACTGGTGCGATCTATGAGTTGGTAGCGGTAACTCAGCAGCGCGGCCCCAAGCTGACCAGACCAAGAATCTGGACGAAGCTCTTGAATGCACAGGGCAGATGGCAGCACACGGTCATCTTCGCGGACCTCAGTGGCAGAGGCCAAAATTCAGGATGAATGCTAGCGAAGGACGTGTTTACCGAGTCTCCATGCCCGAACATGCAGGAATGGAGAACCGGGTGCCTAGATAGTTAGCATCGGTGGAATGGTTCGATTTCAAAAGCTGTTGGGATGCCTTTGCCGATGAGCCACGGTGACATTTCCTGTCTGAAGATATTTTGAGATGATTTGCTTAAAGAGCTGCGGCTATTTTTAGAGGCCGGACGAATGCTGCCTGCACCACACAGGTGACAGGCAGCCATGACAGCCTGCCTTGCACAATGCTTCTTCGTTTTTTGCAGCTGGAGATGTGCAAAGCACTCTCTTGCCTGCATGCATGTGCATCCACTTACGAATTTCGCGAGGACGCCATGTAGCTCTTCAATGACCTCTAAAAGGGGTGCATCTGAATGCAGCTTTGGACGACCTTGACGACGCACTGTTGTTAGAAAGGGGGAGCAGCAGCACGAGTGCACATAGAGCCTTCCGATCTTGCTCCGGGGTCAGTGCTGAGCACGATCGGCTCTCAGCCTCGTAGCCTAGGTCTGCCAAGGCGGAGGTTTTCGCTGGCCATGTCTCAAGCTTGATGTCGATGTGAGGCGGCGCATGTCTGAAACCGAAAGCGCTGGATCGAGATGGATATGGAAGGCCTGCCGCCCACAAAGAAACCGAAAGTTTCTGACACGTCATCTGAGTTCGGTGATTCAGATGATGAAGACTTGGAAGTACAGGCCACGCTGCCACGTGCAGGCCTTTGTCCACAGCGTTTGCATGGGCTTCGCATGAAGCTGGTGCAGAGAGTGAACGAAGACTACTTCGCCATGCTCAGAGATGTGAACAGGAACGATTTCTATTGGGACGCTATGAAGAAGTTACCAGTACGGAACCGCCGTGTTTTGGATCTGGGTGCCGGAACTGGAATTCTATCCTTAATGGCTGCAAAGCTCGGTGCGAGCTCTGTCTTGGCCGTGGACGAATCCCCGGAGATGACGTTGATTGTGCAGAAGAGCGCTGAACATAATGGGTTTAAGGACACCATCAGTGTGCACGCTGGTCACAGCACGACATTGTCGTTGGCTGAAAAGGACAGATGTGACGTTATTGTGTCGGAGACGTTTGGCGTTCTTCTCTTGCAAGAAGGCTGCTTGAAATCCTTTATACACGCCAGGGAGCATTTGGCAAAACCCTCCGCAGACATAATTCCTGCTGGCGGTGTCCAATATGCCAGACTGATGGGTTCCCCTGCGCTTCGATTGGCCTCCTCGATATCGAGCGCCGAAGGACCGGACATGGTCCATGTCGATGCTCTCCGAGATGCAGGATGTTTTTGCAGCTGCTTGCTGTGTTTCGGGCAAAATGAAAGGGTGACCTGCATTCTGCGACTTTGATCCAGGACGCGTGCAATTCTCTTTGCCCGGAGGATTCAGCGCTTCGCGGCTGGATTCGTTGTGCCTGCTTGGCTTAAGCAATCCTGCGACTCGTGCAGAAGCGGATGAGCAAAGTTTGTGCGAAGGTGAACTCATTGCCAGATGTCTGCTGGATGTCAGAGAGTATCGGAATCCTGGAGGCACTGTGCAGATACTGCCCAGGAGTTGATCCCGAGACCCACCTCCTTATCGAGGTTGATTTCGCCACGTCCAAGCTTGACGACATCCCCAAATGCAGCCGCGGACTCGTTCTCGGTTTCAGAATGAATACAGCGTGGTGCGCGTGCGTGCAACTAGGCGATGTATGAGCGTACTTGCACCCTGGCTGTTTCTGGACATGCCGGGCGGATATTGCAGCAGCCGTTCTCGCAGGTCTGAGTTGCTTGGTATAACCGTGCAACCAATGCTTGCTAGTTGTTGGCTGGTCGTGCAACGATTAGATACATCTTGGTCCATTTTCGATGTTGCTACTTGACCTTGCCGCTGTAGGTTCAACGGGAACCCTGGCCCCAGTCGTACTGCAGTTGTCTAGACTTCTGATGTGGACCACTTCTCACAAAGAAAGAATTCCAAGGAGCACTGTGGTGGGCAGGGTTGGTATCGATGGAAAAGTCTAGCCCTTCAAGCGACTCGTTGGCTGATTTCGCCAAGGCGGCTCGCATCTAATCGCCGAATTTCTAGGCCGCGGCCTTCTTGGCGGCTGGTGCTGGGGTTCCTTCCAAGGCCATCCAAGGCCTCCAACAAGCAGACTCGGTCCCCCCCGAGGCAGATCGCATGGCCTGAGCTCTGATTGTGGAGGCGTTTGAGTCGACGCTGTCAGTTGGATGTGGGTTGAGCGGGTGCAAAAGTGGTGATGCACGTAGTGGATGCAGGAACAAGTTTACATGGAACACGACACTGCCGCATCGCGGGTTATGCGCCTTTCCGATACTCGTCGACTGTCCCACTATGCACCCCCCGGGCGATGCTTGCGCCCGAGCAGAATTGTGCACCCTGGTGCCCGGCCAAACACATGTATGCTGTACGCGTTCTGGCCATCGAGGACCTGAGGATGCTGTCATGTTTTGCTAACGCTCGTAGCTTGTTGATGCGTTGTTGAAAGTGTTGCATCACGTTGAGTTTCAAGTGCCTCAATACTCAAGGGGAGTTTCCAGTTCGGATTCTTCAAGACGGCGTGGTGGACGGCGCAGCAGTCTCAGTGACAGAAGTTGTTTTTTCGTTAGACAGCTAGAAGTTGGGTGCTGCCCCGGTTCAGTAATAGTCGGATACTAGTTTCCTTATAAGACCCCATACAAGAAAAACACAACTGCTTTTGAACAAACAAGTTGCTCGGGACCCTTCTTCCAGACTCTTCTGAGGGCATGTAAAACTACAGCACCTCCCCAGCCAAACTTTCTTGAGGGAATGCAAAATTACAGCACCTCCCCGGCCAAACAGCCCCACCCAACTTAACCCAATCAGCCAGCCCCCAACCCCAGCCCACCCCAATCCATCCAGTCCCCCACCTCCTTCGTGTTGAAGTTGCCCGTTTTTGCCACTGAGATCGTCACGTCTTGGGAGACCTGGTCGGACAAGGAGTGGGTTCTCATGGAGGATCAGAGTCATAGCGCAAGGCCATCAGCATAATGCATGCAGGAGAGGACGCTCTGCATGAGTACCGAGGCTGACAAAATCAAGGCGTCGACGAAAGCTTTTGAAAATTGCAACGTTCTCTGAATGCCCGAGAATGTGCTGATGCTTTCGTCTTCTAGGGCCAGCCCTGGGGATTCGCTCGTGATGCGCACTGGGGACAAGGCTTTTCGCAGGTGCGGCAACTTTGCGGATGCAAAAAGGGGCGTGCTGCGGTCGTCTGCGGTCGTCTGTGGTCTGCAGGTCGAGGGCCCTGGCAAGGGCGGTGAGAAGTTCGAAGTGTTCAAGGGGGAAGAGCTTCGCCTCCAAGCTCGTCACTTGGCGCTTTCGAGAAGCGTCTCTAGTACGAACTTCAACACAGAACGATAAGGACACCACCTTGAAAACAGTCACGGAATAGAGAGAGATTTAGAGTCTGGTGGGCTTGGAGCCCGGGGAGCTTGACGGGGAGCGAGAGAGAGAGAGAGAGACTTACCCCGTAGCCATTTTGGCTCAAGCGGTTCAAGGGGACTGAGGCCGGCCTGTCTCCCCCCTTGCTCTTCTCTCCTTCCTTCTCCTCGGAGGGGCCTCAGTTCTCCTCAACCCGGGCGCTTGCATCTCTCGACCCATAGCCTGCCGCGCCATTGCTGGACAAGGAGGGGGCAATCTTTGCGCTCTTCCTCGTGAGGGTCCGGGGGGGCGAGATCGTCAAGAGTGCAGCTGTACGGGATCCCTCTTCGAGGCGTGCGGGGGAGCCTGACATCAACTACCCCAACGCACTCGGCGGCGAGCCTACGCACTGCAGTGCAAGCCGGGGGGATTCGGGACTTTGTCGAGGGGTCGTAAAGTATAACCCTGTTGTGCAACGAGCTCCTTTCTCGACGTGACCAAGAATGGCAACTTCAGTGGGGATGGAAGCGGCGCAAGGGGGCAATGTGCCCATCGACGTAGACAAGGACGAGCGGGGGCCGGCGGGGATAGAATCCCCTACCAAGAAGGGCCGGACCCATGAGCAAGCACTCACCCTCTCTATGCTTCGCACAGTTCTGGCGGAAGAGCGAGAAAGAGACCGGGAACACCTGGCACACAGCCTGGCGGGGGTCAAGAACGACGTCGCCAACATGCAAGGGAGGGTTCAGGAAGTGGAGACCATTGTCAGCCAGCAGGTCCAGGACACCGTCCGTGCCTTGGACCGTGTGACGCAGAGCTATGACAGGCAAGCGGGGGCCCTGGAAGCAGTCAAAGCAGCCCAGTTTCAGCTTGAAGCACGCATACAGTCCCTGGAACAGAAGCCGCCCTCGACAGCGCCGGGGAGCACCATCGACACCGAAGGGGGGCGGAAGCCAGCCCTGATTATCGGGGGCTGGCACCCCGACCAAGCGGCGGAGGAGACCCTGAAGGCAGCCCAGGAGGTACTGAAAAGTCTTGAAGTGCCGCTGAACTGGGACGAGATGTTCGTGCCTGGACTGAGGCGGGGATACGCGATCCTACCGATCACCCCCAAGCCATTTGAAGATGAAGATGCAAGACGACAACGGGTGCAGGGGGCTATCCAGAGGGTGCGCAATGCGAACATCATGCCGGGCAAGAACGAGGCTGGGGGCATGCGTAAGCTGTGGATAGCCATCAGTCAGAGCCCCGAGCGCCGCAGACGCGCCAAACTTGCGGGGAAAATCAAGCGCACCATTCTTGAACTCGGGGGTAACCCCCGGGACCTCGAGGTCGAGTTCGCCACCGGGACAGTGTGGTATATGCACCAGAAGGTTTGCAGCGCGACAGCAGAAAAACCCGCCGCAGGAGAGAGCGTGGGGGCAGGATGGGCAGACGTCCGAGTCCTCGCAAAAGCCATGGGAAAGCCGCTCAAGGACGTGGAAGCAGTGTGGGGGGCCCGCAAAGCGGAGCTCCAGTGACTTGACCACAAGCTGAAGCAGTTTCACAGCGCTGGCGGGGGAGACCCTCTGCCAGCACCTTGCCGCGTGGGAAGCTGGAA